TATATATATATATATATAAAGGAACAGAGTAAACTGGTCTTGTATAACTAATATGTAATTGCGTTTGGTTTTCAGATTCAGATTCAGTCCAGCCTTTCCTCGTTTTCGGTCATGGTAAAGCCCTTCACAGAATGGACTTGGATGGGAGGAACCACAGAAGAGTTTTGGCTGGTGTGGGAAGTGCTATCCTGTTTGATTTCCATTACAGGAAAGAGGAAATTTACTGGGCCAACAAAAACACTGGAGTCATCTACAAAACATCAGTGATGGGAGCTAATAAACAGGTAAATAACACTTGTAGAGTACATTAAATAAAAACTGTCAGTTTTCTATTTGACATTTTATGCTCAAATATACCGTATAAATGATTTCCTTTAACTTTTTTGAGTTAAGGCCCCACTTTCCCACAACATTTATGTCAATGTTACACCACAATTTATTTTGCTTCTGTGCCTCTGTATGAAATCTGACAAGTTAGATCTAATGTCCAATGACTTCTTTTAAATTTGAGAGTTTAAAAGTGAATCTTCTATTCCACACGTATAATGAGCCAACAGAATTAAATATCCGTCACTTTTCAATAAATACAATTTAATTACTGTTTGCTTTCCAGAAACTGTCCTCTGACAAACACATATCAGGACTGGCAGTGGACTGGATTGGGAATGGTTTATACTGGACAAGCCAAGAAAAGGGAAAAATTAAGAAAATGGACCTTAATGGAAAAAATGAAAAAACTCTTCTAAGACACCTGATCCAACCAAGTTCTATTGCTCTTGAGCCAATAAGCAGGTATAAACTCCTTTATCAAACTTTGTTTTTCATAGTTGACCCCCCCACCACCCACCCCTCTTCACAGTAAATGACCCTGTAGTAGATGACTCTAAAGGCATTTTTGGGAATAAAAAATAAAATAAATAAAAAGCTTATAGATAAGATTTAATCAAAAAATAACAAAATTAATGAGCCATTGTCTTTTTGTTTAATATTTACTTTTGCAGAATTCTATTTTGGCAGTCTGTAGGGACAACTCCATGCATCCAACGGTCTGATATCAATGGACGAACAATAACAACCCTTATTAAAATAACAAAGAAAATAAAGGCACTGTCAGTTGACAGACAAGACAAAAGGCTGTTCTGGATTCAGTTAGGTTTGCAAGGAGAATGTGCTATTGTCTCATGTGATTACAACGGAAACAGCGTTCACATCATTGACCAGGCACTAAGGTAAGTCTTAGGTATTCAACATAAATTCTGTGAAATATAAATTCTTACATAATTTTAGAGAGTGGCATTATAAATTATTGTTTACATAATGATGAATGTTGTTATGTATATCCTCTCTGATTTTTCTCAGGTCTCAGACTTTGGGAATATCAGTTTTTCTGGAAAACGTATACTACACTGATGCTTCATCTAAGGTTATAAAAGAAGTAAACAAATACACAGGTGGAAGGACAGTAGATGTCAACAAAAAGCAAATGGCTAAACCCCCAGTAGGGGTTAAGGTGGTGCATGCCCTCAACCAGCCTTTGGAGGATTCTAATTCAGCATTTACAGGTTTCAACAGAATTTTGACACTGCATTTATACTTGTTTTTACAAATTATAATAATGGTTGCTAGGCATTGTTTGCTGATATATTTTCCTATCTTTTTCAAAAAGGTTGTGACCCTCAGGGTGGAAACTGCCTAAGCATTTGCTCTAATTCAGCAGAGCCAGGATTATGCCAATGTGCTGAAGGTTTTGCACTTAGCAAGGAAGGCACTCACTGCGAAGGTTGGTTAAGTGGGCAATAAATTCAAAAATTACAATTCTATTGTGTGGTTATTTTTAAATTGTTGTGAATACAGCATAAAATATTGATATTAGCATCAGATTTCATTATCTATTCTTATTTGTTGAATTATTTCACAGATGTAAATGAATGTGCCCACTGGAACCATGGCTGCTCTCTTGGCTGTGAAAACATCCCAGGCTCTTATTTCTGTACTTGTCCTAAAGGATATGCCCTCTTACCAGACAGGAAAACATGTGGAGGTAGAGATTTAAAGTCTTATAACAATTTTTTTTCAGCTACTAAGGAGGTTTTCTATTACTCTATTATCTATTTACTACACTGAACTTTATATATAGGACCTTAAAACATTATTTTAAAACACTGACAATGTGAGCCTTGTTTTGTCTGTATCTCATTTTGGACTGGAGTCTCATCTGTGTCAGTGTCTGTGGAGGGTGGCATTTGTCCTCCAGATACTACCTTGACCTTTCTAGGCCAATAAAAAGGGAAGGTCACAGACGGCCAGACAGACTCGACGTAACTGAACTAACAATTGTGTGTTGGGTTACTTGGGTCAAAACACCAACACTTTGTCACAGCCTTAGAGGCCTCTGTGTTGAGCTCAGTAGCAAAATGACATAAGGAAATAAAATTACCACTTCATTTACAATGTATTTTACTAAATTCGATTGTATCATTATGGTATATGAAACCAAATGGGGTTTGTTGATTTATTCCAAATGTTAAGTCATTGAGGTGGTGGGTGATCCATACATAGTCATTCCAAATGTATGCCTGGTCATCCTGCTGCTGAATAATGCAGCTTTGTTGTCTGCAGGCATGACAGCAGAAATATCTCAGACAATCTAATATTTAGCCACAAACAAATAATGCAGTCATGAGGAAATGTATAGAAAAAGCTATGTCACATAAATTAGTGATGAAAGCTGAGTTTGTTACTTTTATGTGGCAACGGAGTTACATCTACTATTTTCTACCATTTGCCCCCAAAATAAGCACTGTATGAATCTTAACAATAATGTATGGGAATAAATAGAGCAATGTTGCCATTCTATGCTGTTCCACAAACACCAATTGCAAGATCCAAGCAGCAAAGTAAACAATGGAAGCAGCAACAATCCAAACTACTATAATGGCTAGTAAGAGTTCACAAAACATCACATCATTATGCAACACTAAAGGTCAACTGACGAGAAAAAACCCACCCAAGTCTTACCCACTAAGGCTTTTCCCACTCTCAGAAATAGAACAGGTCGTGTAACGATTTCACATTGGAATGACATCTGTATAAAGTGTATGGGAATGTGCACTGGCCCTTATTCACACCTACAGGACATACCAGATGCCTGTGAGGTAATATTACATCATCCCCAGGGCGAGGGGATTTTGACTTTTTTTTTTCATGTTTGATAAGATTAGACCTGATTTTGAAAAAATATTTAGAACTGGTAAAACGTTTGTTGACAATAAGAATTTTAGGTTTCCACATTTGCTTTAAACACTTAAAATTACTGAATAAACAATTTCTGACATCCAACTGATTCATTAGAAAGAATATTAATAAAATAATAATAATGCACTTAATGTTGTTGTGTCCTCCAAACCTAGAAATTACACAGTGCAAAGGAAATGTGACAAAGTGTGGCCATGGATGTCTGACAACAGACAAGGAGCAGATCTGTGTGTGTCCTGAAGGATCGGTACTACAGAGTAACGGACAGGCCTGTACTGGTATGGACAATATTGCAATATATAAAGTCACCATAAGTCCTAACAGCAACAGAGCTGCTCAGCTTTACTAAAAACAATCTATAGTGAAGCTGATTTACTAAAAGTTTCTACTAAGGAAGAGAAATTTAGAGAGAAATATGGAATGCAACATAACTGTTGCATTCCATATTTTTCCCAATACAAACAGGACAACTTTAAAGCTGTTATTCTTATCGTTAAAGATGAATAAATTTTATCAATATCCAGGTAAATTTATCTTATAAAAAATAGAATAAAATACAATACTTTTTATTACACAAATATTATTTGGCTAAATTCCATGAACAGGACAATTATTGTGAATATATTTATTTAGTATGCAATATAATAAATATTAGGACAGGACTCAATTGTTTCAAATATTTCTAAACTCAATCCAACCTCAAACTTAAACCTTGCAATCCATTTGCAATGCTTCCATCAAATGTACAAAACAAATATATGCAAAATCATGAAGTCTATGAAGATAATTGTCTATTGTACTTTTTTCGTTGTTGGTGGCTGAAGGCTGCTCATCACCAGACATGGGGGGCTGCAGTCAGCTCTGTATTCTAATCAGCCCTAGTAGATGGAAATGTGGCTGTCAGCCTGGCTACCAGCTCCATCAAGATGGTAAAGGATGCATTGCAACTGGTGAGTCATATGCAAAAACAACCAGTTGCATAAGATCAGGCAAAGCTCACAGGACTTCCCCTATGACAATCTAATGCAAACACTTTCTACTGCAACTTTCAGGACCAGCACCTTATCTGCTGGTTGCTAACAAAGAAGATATAAGAACAATTAATCCTGATGGTACTGATGGTATTATTCTGGTAGAGGAGCCCAGAGCATCAGTCACAGCTTTGGACTATGATCCCGTCCAGAATAACGTAAGAATAAAGTCTTCATCCTTGT